TCTCGGTGTGCTCGACCATCCGCATCAAGAGTTGTCCTTTTAGTTCCTGTGACATATTTGCTTCGGTCGAAATCGAACTAGATGTGAGAAACGACTCGAGGCATTTTCTGCCATGACAGTGGGTCTTTCTACCTCGTTACTTTTCGCCAGATAGTTACCTGTGGCTTGCATGCAACTTGAAGTCCGAGTGGTATGAGAAAGCAGCTAACGATTTCGAGATGTTTTTCACATACAGGAGTGCTCGCCAATATTTGAGGTTGATGTGGGTCCGGCTCCAGTCTTGTGTATGCATGTATTGGTCGACAGAGTAGGGCGAGCAGGCATTCACTCCGAGCACCCGTCGAAGGTATTGCAATTCGGCAACATTGTCTTCCAGTTTATCGTAGTGCATTTCAACACGCTGATACAGCGTCCTTTCTCGACTGGATTTGCGTCTGTTTGCATGGTTGTTATTGAAGTTGAGTACTGGGGTCGCATTCGTCGCTTTTCGAAAGACTTTGGTGTTTAGACCAGTACAAGCTTTACGACAGACGAGGACATCAAGGAAGACCAGATGGTTCTTTTTTAATTTCCTTCTTCATCTTCTTCTTGTTTTCCATCGTAATTTTTATGCCTGGAAAGACGCTATTGAGCTGATTTTTCGAATATGGGCACTTGATCGCTTTTAATAGGGACAAAGATATTATCCACATTCCGAGGCCAGAAGTTTGGTTTGTGTGGTCGGAGGACTAGCGACAGTGAATGCAGCACGGCTGCCTTGACGATGAGTCCTGGACTGGGTAAATTCGTTGATGTGTTTCTTACCCGCTCTTAGGCTGTTTTATCAAACATGAAGTCCACTATGCAATGATTTACCGTACTAACAACACAGGTATTACCTAAAAGCCCAGACACGCGTGTTTCGCCGATATTATGCCGCTGCCTTACGCAGCTGCGAGGGGTTCGGCTCGTCAGTGGGGCCCACAGCTTTCCCCGTGTGTTTTCTGGTATATGAACTCCGGTTTTAACTTGCCTTGTTTAATTTCTAACTTTCATTGCTTTATCATAACCTACATGCATTACCGTACAGGCCTAAGGATGAATTATCAAAAATCAACCTTCGTTGATTTCGACTTCTTAAAATAAAAAAGCATGCTTTCGAACGCCAAATAGGTATCTATTGCA